GTCTGGCCCCACACAGGAGGGAAACCCGCCCCTTTGACACCGCCCTTGCCAGTAATGCAGCATCCCTCCCCCTCGGTGCACACACCCGCCACCCCCCGGAAACGGCAGGACCCATCCGTGTCATAAACGCAATGAACCCCTAAATAAATAAGAAAAGGAGACAGAAGAAGGGTTGAGGGGCGGGCTCCCCTTATGTCGACGCTTGAGGACCAGCATTCTCGCTGGGGCGGAATAGGGCAGAGCCCAGTTGCTCTAACGCATCCTCAGGGCAGCCTGCTGAGGCCGAGGGTCTCTCCCCTTCCGCACACACCACACCCCCCCCTTCGGGGAATCCCCCCCTCCTTGGGACACTCCAAGCACGGATTATTAAAATAATCAATACTCGCGTGTACGGCGGGAGACAGGCACAAGGGCTTCGGCTCACTCCCTGAGCTCCCTCCCCCAGCAAAATTCCTACTTCCTCCTTCTTTTCCCCTCTTTGCGGTAGGAACTCCTTGGAGGCGGGGATGCGGCTTTTCTCTCTGCTCCTTCTTCCCAGCCTATCTGCTGCCTGTTGTGCCTCTCCAGCCGGTGGCATCGCTGCGTTACCCACCCGGGAACAGCCTTCCGAGCGGCTTCGGTAGCGACGGGGGGGGCCGGGGAAGCAGCAGGCGCGGCGGGGAGGTAGGGGGGGGAATGGTGTTACCGCTGCTCTTCATCTAAACGGACGAAGTAAAAGCCTCGGAGCCAGCGATGGAGGAGCTCCTGGACGTGTTTCCCCTCCTCTCCAGCTGACAAGACTCTTTTAAAGTACCAGCAAGGAGAACTCCGGCTCGGGGCCTCTGAGGGAAGCGGGCGCAAATCAGTGCTCCTCACTCCTTACTGTATCCCGGCACTCGGGGAATCAAAGTGCAAATCAGTGCTCCCCACTCGTTGCTGTATCCCAGCACCCAGGGGGCAGCTTGGGTGTCAATCAGTGCTCCCCACTCCTTCGGCATCCCGGCCCCTCGGGGGGAGCAGAGCACAAATCAATGATCCCCACTTCTTGCTGTATCACAGCAGTGAGGGGAAGCAGAGCGCAAATCAGTGCTCCCTACTCCTGCTACATCCCTTTTCCTCAGGGGGAGCAGAGCGCAAATCAGTGCTCCCCACTCCTGATGTACCCCAGCACCCAGGCGGTGGGAGCTTAGGTGTAAACCACTGCTCCCCACTCCTACTGCATCCCGGCCCCTCGAGGGGAGCAAGGAGTAAATCAGGGCTCCCCATTCCTTCCTTTATCCAGGCCTGGGGGTAGTGGGGATGTAAATCAGTGCTCCCTAATCCCGCTGCATCCCGGCCCACGCTCCCTCAGACGCGACGGGCAGGAGCTGACCACCCCTCGCAGTGCAGGGTGCTGTACAGTTGCAAAGCCGTCCGATAGCGGCCCGGGCTTGGACGCGTATTTCGTCCCCTCCCAGCCCTTCAGCGGGAAGAATTGGTGTGGATTTTCTGCAAAGCCCCCTCCAAAGTGACACATGGGCTAGCCGCCTTCCGCAAAACCCTCTTGGCCGGCGCCTTCTCACAAGCGCGTTGAGATCTCGGGGAGATGGGATGGCCCCGGGGGGACCAGAGAGCTTCTGTTCTGGGATGTTTAGAGGCCTGGGGAGTGGGAGGAGGCCTAAAGGGGTTGTTCTTTACCCGGGTCCTGCAGCCCAGGGGAAAGGGGTCCGTTGGCCAGTCCGTGGGGACACCTTCCCGGTGGGAATGAGCTGGAAAAGAGCCGGCCCTTCTTCCCGAAACCCAGAGTTGCCTGGGTTTTTCGGACAGGTTTGCGAGTCTGTAGGTTAACGGCAGCGCCGCAAGAAATAATATTAATAAGAATAAAAGAGATTAAATAAAACCTCATCTACCACCCTCATCTGCTGCCCCGAGCCACGCTGGGCCCCGACTCGCTGCAAACAGCCATGCAACAGTTTCGGCCAGCCCCCACGCCGGGGACAGAGCTTAGCCCTCCTTTATCTAGTCCTGAAGGGAATAATGCTGGTCTTTCGACTGCGAGGGTCTGTGGGGCCCGATCCTGCTATGCAGGACCAAGGGCTTTCCTCTTTTCTTTCACCCCCTTTGCTCCGGCCGGGCTGAAATCACCTGTCCCGGCAGACTCCTATCGCGTTATCCACCTCCATAACCTAGCTTTTAAATGCAGCTCCAAAAACGATTCCCGTGTCCCGCATTTGGCTTTTGCTTGGCCTGCGAGTCCAGCCCACCCAAAGGGCTCCCCCCAGAGAGATGAGGGCTACCGGAGCTCGGTGGAAGGAGACTGAGGGTCCTGAACCCCCAGGACAGGTCGCAGTGGTGGGACAGTTCTCTCAGCTCCTGTCTTTGGAAGGGGGCTGCATACCCACCCTGCCCTGACTGGGGGGAGGCCTGATCTTACCAGCTCCCGGCCCCGGGACTTTAGGATCATATAGCTGGCTTTCCTTTTTCTGCCAAGCTCGTGAAAATCTCGAATCCTGAAATCCTGAGATCCTAACGGCCTTATATCCTGATATACTGACATCTCCGAAGCCAGAGTGCAATATAGAGGGGAGGGGGGGGCAGCGCCCTGGGGCAGTGCAGACCCCACGTAGCAGCCTCCATGGGGACAGGGATGGAAAAAAAACCCACTGTCAAGGTGTTATGGGAGGAAAGGGGACCCCAAGCCCGGCTCCATCTGCGAGCCCCCAGGAACTGTCCAACAGCGAGGAGAGAGGGGAGCAGGTTGCAGCGCCTCAGAGAGCCCCGGCCCCCAGGACCGCACCGTCCGCTCCCCCGTATCTAAAGGGTCCCGTGGCCCCAGCGTCCTTACCCAGCGTGGGAAGATGTGGGAGCAGTAGTGACCCCAGGATTTCTCAACGCGTGTGGGATAAACCCACAGCAAGCACCTGATCTGAGCCATTTCCAGTGGGAAAAGGGGCTGGACAGGGGGAAGAATTCTTCCTGGTTTGGGGTTTTGTTTTTGTGTTTTTGTTAGTTTGGGGTTTTTTCCTATATTTATTTTTACATTTTTACACTATTTATTGTATTTTTACCCCTTTATTCTATTTATTTCTTTACCCTTTTGCTGTATTTTGCTTTTACCTTTTACTCTATATATTTTCTCTCTTTAAAATATAACTTCGGATTCTGTTGCATTAAAAAAAAAAAAAAAAAAGAAGGAAAAGAAAAAATAAAATTAAACCCACTCTCTGAGAGCCAGGAAAAATGGCACGAGTTTTACAAGAATGTTCCTTAAAATACAGATCAAGTGAGGCTTGGACATTTTTTTCTCCTTTAAATCGAGAGTTCCAGAGCTTTTTGCCAGCTTTCTAGCTCATGAGAAGTTTACCCGATCAAAACCAATTTATATCATCGATTACAGCAGCCTGCCACTGGTGTGACTGCTCCTAAACGCGGCCAGGACTGCGAGGGGCTGCGCGGGGTGGGGGGGGCAGGACACACGGCAGGGAAGTGTCCCCGGTAAATATTGGATAGGTGAGCCTTTGCCGCTGGGAAAAGAGCCGGGATCCAGCGAGCCGGACTTGGGAATTCCCAAAGAACCCTCCTAAAGCCTGCTCCAGGCTTTACCGGCATCCCAGAGCCGGGTTAAATCTGCTTCAACAGATAAAAGATGGTCTGGGGGAAAGGCAGAACATGTGTCAGTGCCCGGCATAGCGAACAGGAGCTTAAGCAGGTAAAGAGAAGGTTAAAATCAGCCAAACCTTTAGACGGGAAAGTGTTTAAAAACCTTAAAACGATTCTGAAGTGAACTTTCCGCCTTGGTTTTTGACTCTGCAATGTGTCCGTGTTGAACAATCGCTCTCATCACCCTCACCCATTTGTAGCCTTCCAGGATTCGCTTTTTATTATTATGTTATGCTTTGAAAGGATGGGATTTGTTCTCTTTCTTTTTGCCATAGGAAAGAGCCGGAGACGCGCCAAGCACCGCGCAAGGCCCGCGCCTGCAGGGACAGGCAAAGGAAGCAGAAATCCTCTTCCCTGTGATCCCTTTCCCTCCCCTCCTCCCCCTTCTTCTCCCCAAACTTCTTCCCTAAGTTTCAAGCTGACCAAGGGTTTGGGATGGAGAGGAGACGAGGAACAGACCCGGCCCTCCCTGCGGTGCCTTATTCGTTTCCCCCCCGCAACCGCCCTCCCGGCAGTGGTCTAAATTCCACCTCTAAGCTTTTTCCTCCAAGAAATAACCATCATCAACCTCAAGGCTCCGGGAAAACGACTCAGTTTTAAAAACAACCAGTGCCACGTTTTCTGCATGAAGGTGGAGGGAAGATTAGAAAAAAATGGAAAAAAAAACCCAAAACACTTATACAGACAGACAAGCGTCAGAATTGGAGAAGAAAAAAAAAAAACCAGCATGGATTTATTTTAAGGTAAGTACAACAATTAGGACCACATAAGACAAACGAACTTTGAAGCAGGTTAAAGCAAATAGTCCTTAGGAATGGTCAAGGTGAAATCTATTATACAAAACATCACACGTCGTAAATAATAGTAGAAAAGTATCAGATACTTTGTCTTTTTTTTTTTTCTTTCAAAAAAAAAAGAGAGAATCCACCAGCAAAAAAAAAAAATAAATTATTTCCTCATCTTGTGAAAAGAACAGCTCTAAACCCAAAGAAAGTATGGCATAATTGTACACAGACGAAAAGAGAAATCACTTGTCATTAATTTGGAAGTTAGGAATTGTTGGGCGAGACAAAAGCAATCCAGTGAACTCAACTTTAAATATTATATTAATGGCTCTGAAAATCAGCCTGATTAGAAATCCACACACTTTTTACAGCACAACAGAGAACTTAAAAAATACCCAGGACATATATTTATATATATATATTTATATACTTCCTTTTTTTTTTTTTTTTTCTTCTCTTGAAAAGTATAAATGGTCGTTGTGATATTGGTCCATAACTTATTTTTTTCTGAGATCCCCTATAGTTTAGCATATAAATCTTGCCACTTCTAGATAGACATATATATATAGAATTATTCTTTTTTTATTCTTTTTTTAATTCTTTTTAAATTTTTTTTAGGAGATATCCCCTTTTCAAGCAGGATTTACTTGTCTGCAGTATAAGGAGGCCCGAAATTGGGCTTGTGACCTACAGACTGTGATCCCCATGTCATATTTTATTTTTATTCTTTGATTTTTTTTTTCCTGCCTCTGAAGTTTTTGGTGTATTTTTATTTCTCCTTTTTTTAATTATTATTATTAATAGTAATCATTTTTTTCACTTTTCTTTCTGGCGGGTGGCCCTAGGCGGGGGGTGTCGGCTACTCAGTACTTAGTGCAGTCGTAGGAGTAGGGGGCGGCGTGGCGGTAGAGGGAGGGCGCGGATCTGTATGGGATCTGACAGGCGGAGTTGCTGCTCACCTGGTGGTCGCTGAGCGAGGCGCTCTCCATCCCCAGCCGGTGCGAAGTGAACATTTCCCGTACGTTGGGAAACGTCTGCTGCTGGGAACCGAACGTGTGCCCAGGCAGGTGGCTCAGCTCAGCCCCATGGTTGAGGTACCAGGAAGCAGGGGGCTGCCCCCCTCCCGCTGTCCCCCCACCGCCGCCGCCGCCACCGTGGGGATGCCCGGTCCCCAGCGCTCCTTCTTGCCCTGCCGGCAGGCCGAGGGTGCCGAGAGGCGATGGGGCACCCGGAGGGTGCTCGGCCAGGCCATCCTCCAGCGCTGCGGGGGGCACGCACATGTGGCCCGGCCTCTCCCCGCTATAGAGGCTCATAGCGCGCACGCTGCAGTGGTAGCTCCCACTAGTGTCCGCGGCCTGGCTGCACGCCGCGCCGTACCCCGACGGCTGCCCCGGTGGGTAGCCCAGCGGCAGAGCGGTGCCCGCCCGGCCTGGGGCGGCACTCACCGGGCCGAGCTCCCCCGCCGGGGAAGTCCTCAGGGTCATGATGCTCTCCACAGTGAAGCCCGGCAGCCCGGTGCTGCCAGGGTGATGCTCGGGCAGCGCGGCACCGGGGGAAGCAGCGGCGGGGGGAGAGCCGGCGCTGCGGGGACTGTCCCGCAGCGCCCCGCCGCTGGCCGGGCTCAGCGTCTCCACTTTGGTGATCACCGGCAGCTCGGGAGACGCCGTCTCGCTCTTGATCACCACCTTCTTCTCGGAAGCCGGCGCCGAGGCGGAGGAGGAGGAGGAGGAAGAGGAGGAAGAGGAAGCTTCCTTCGGGAGGTCGGCGCCGGCCAGCCCGGGGGGCTTAGACTGCTCCTTCAGCAGCCGTTCCCGGGCCTCCTCTTTCTCCTTGGAGACATCCTTCTTCTTGAAGCGTCTCCTGCGGCGCAGGAAGCTGCCGTTTTCGAACATGTTGTAGGAATCGGGGTCCAGGGTCCAGTAGCTGCCCTTACCCGGCTTCTTGTCGTCGCGGGGCACCTTGACGAAGCACTCGTTGAGGGAGAGGTTGTGGCGGATGCTGTTCTGCCAGCCCTGCTTGTTCTCTCGGTAGAAAGGGAAGCGGTCCATGATGAACTGGTAAATCCCATTGAGCGTGATCTTCTTGTCGGGGGCGTTCTGGATGGCCATGGTGATGAGAGCGATGTAGCTGTAGGGCGGCTTCACCAAGTCTTTGGGGGCGGTGGGCTGGTGGGGGTGATAGGGGCCGTAGGAGCGCCCCATGCCCGCCGCGTACTGCTCTGCAGGGCCCGGGTACACGCTCATGGGGTTCCCCATCCCGCCGTACGTCCCCGCCGTCCGGTAGTAGTTCTGTTCGCTTAAATACGGCACCACTCCCAAAGCGTTGGGGTCCGAAACGGAGTAGCGAGCCTGCATCATGGAGAGGGGCTTCCAGCGGCCAGGGAGGAGAAGAGGAAGAGGAGGAGGGTGGAAGGGCCTCACCCCCGTTCGGGACCGCTCTGCGGAAAAGGGAGAGGGCGAAAGCAGGGCAAAGCGAGTCTCAGAGGCGAGCAGAGTCCCAGTGTGTCCTCTAGCAGCGGCACCTCGGCAGCATCCTTCGGGTCGCCGGGGCCGGGTGGGTTCTGCCGGCCTCTTCCCACTTTCGTTATGGCTGTGATTCCTGCCTACACACCTGTGACCCGCTGCGGGCGCTGCTGCGGAGCGGGAGGCGGGAGGGCTGTTCTCGCAGGAAAACGGGACTGTTAAAAAAAAAATATATATATAACTTTAAAAAAAGGGGGGAGAAAAAAAGTAAGAAAAAGCAGTCTTGCGGAAAAGCAGCCCTTGTCACAACAACCGCCCGGGGTCTTGCGCAGCCCGCGTGCCCCGCCGGCTCCGTGCGCGGGTGCGCGGGTGCGCAGGATGCGCGGGGGGCGCGGAGCTCCTCGGCCGCGCTGCGGAGCTTCAAAACTCTCCCCGCGCTGCCGACGCGCTTTTACTCCCCGCTGGCCCCGCCCCCCGCTGCCACAGCCAGCCAATGCGCGAGCGCGCCCCCGCCGCCTCAACCAATGGGAAGCGGCGGCGGCGGCCGGGGATGCGGTGGCGTTGGCGAGCATCACGGCGCAGGCTACACGCCACACAGACACACACACACACACACACACACACACGGGCCGCCTCACCCCGTTCTAAACGCCCGTACTCACACATCAGAAACGGGATCACCCTCCCTGCGTTCCGTAATTTTAGCGTTTTGGCCCCAAAATGAGCCAAAGCCAAACGGCTCAGTCCTGGGGTCCCGCTGGCCCGCGGCGCCTTCCTATGCGATCCCCCCAAAAAGCCAAGATTTTTGGTGCCAGGTTGATGTCGGGGGGGTCGCGACATTGCGCTCATCGTGCCAACAGAACTGTGCTCCCCAGGGCTGCCAAGTCCAGGTTTTACGTCGATGGAAGTGAAAAAGCCCGGAGGGACATCTGGTCCTGTCCCCGCGCTGTTTGCCCGATGGCGAGTGGCACTTCGCCCCCGTGGCCCCGCCGGAATTGGGGATGAGGGGTTCTTCTACCGCTTTGGGGGCATTTAATTATTATTATTAATAATTAAAAATAAAACAGTGAATGCACTCAAGCGGCGGGTTTTTTCTTTCGTTCTGGCCACTTAGGCGATTTTGCCCGTGGCTGTGAAACCCGCCCCTACGCCTATTCCTTAACGATTTCATTAGGGGCAATTAGAGAGGGACAATTAGGGACGCTCGGTGACCAAGTGTAAACTCAGATAGTGGGAAAACTGCTGCGAGCTGCACTGTCCCAGCCGGGAGAAGCGCGGATCTCCCAGGCGAAGAAATAACTGTGGGAAACTGTGAATTCCCCACTCGGGAAAAATGAATAAAATTAAAATAATAAGAATACAATACAAATAGTTACCGCAAAATCGATTCGAGCCCGAGGCGACCAAGATAAGGTTAAAATTAATCAGCTGTCATGTCGGCAGGGCTCCTTCCCGCAGCTTCCCCGAGCCCGGCCGCCTCCGCTCGGGTTTCCAAGCGGTGATCTTTGGGTTTCCTACACTGTAATTCTGTCTTTCCCTCCTTGCAATTTGTGTGGCTTCGGAAGGCTTTAAACAAAGGGGGTTTTTTGTTATTTTATATTCTTTTCTTTACCCCCAAAGTCAGACAGGGATAGTCGCTGGCTGCCGGTAGGAAGGGTCCGGCCGTGGGAACCCGGCGGTGCTGCTAATTACCGGAGATTTTCTTAATAAGAAAGGAAACGATTTTATGCGATCGAGGGGAACAACAAAAAAAAATTTGCAACATAAAAAATGAAAGGCAGCTCCTCTGAAAGGAGGTACGGTTAAAACCGATCTGTGATGGAAAAACGAACAGGAAAGTTTAGCCGGACGCTTCTAAACCGTGATTTAATTTTTATGGAAATAAATGGAAACGTTCTGGGACGGTTTCATCGACCGAGCAAACGTCCGGGTGATTTATTTTCCTTTTTTAAATGAAAACAAATAGTGAATTCTGAGAGGTCTGCTGATGCTTTTCATGTACGAGCAACGAGAAAGCATGTACATAACATTATTATTTCTCTAATAATTTGAAAACGACTTCCCATTTTTACCTTCGGTTTTCAAAGAAATCGTATTTCTGCTAAAAGCTAGGGGGTTATCTGACCGCGCACATATGGATTTTTAAAACAATATAACTTTTAAAATGCAGTATTTCTTTTCCAGTGCAAAAGCTTGACCCGAGACAGCCTCACGCCGCCCCAGCGCTGCCCCTTCCCACAGCCTGGTGCGCTCGGGAGAAATACCCTGGACGGAATCTCACTTCTTCTCATCTGGAAGCTTTAATCGAGATGAGTTACTACAGAAAACCCAGGAGCCTCACCGGGCCGAGCTCCGCGGCGAGGAGAGCCCGCGCTGTGGGTAGCAGGAACGATAAGAACACCCTGTTTGTGAAAATAGCCAGCACCCGAAAGGGGACCGTGGAAACCGGGGTCCCTCCAGCACCGTGGGTTCCTCCGCCCGCCCTCCGCAGGGCGCCGCGCTCGTCCGCGTTACCGGAACGGTGGCAGCCGGGCAGGCAGCGATGTCTCACCGCAGCCTTTATCAGCCTTTGGCGAGCACCGAGGGCCGAAGCGCGGACCCTTCCCCTCCTCGGGCTCTCCCCGCGCCGGTTCCCCGGGCCTCGCGGCCGTGCCGGCGGCCGGTGCGGCGGAGAGCGCTGCGCTCACCTGCCCACCCCGGGGCTCGGCGCGGTGGGTGCTGCCCTCCAGGGGACACTGGGAGGGTTGCACTGCCCCACCGGCACGGTACTGGCACCGATTGCCCGCTCCGGGCCACGGTGTGCGGAAGGAGGAAAGGAGACACGGGAGACAGGAGAGATGGGGAGAAAGGAAGCGAGAGGGGAGAGTGGGATGAGAGAGGCGCAAAGAAAGGGAGAGCGATGGAGACTGCAGGAGAGAAACAGAGAGCAAAAAGTGTGCGAGAAAGGAATGGAGAATGGGAGAAAGAGAAGGAAAGAATGAAAGCGGCAGAGGTCGGGCGGAAAGGAGCAAGGACAGGGAGAGTAAGATTAAAGGAGAGAGAAAATGAAAGAAAGAAAGAAGGAAAGAGGAAGGAAGGAAGACAAAGGAAGAAAGGAAGGAAAGAAAGAAAAGGAACAGCTATGTCTGTAGCTGATACTGTAGCCATCAGCGCAACTAAGACCCTCAAATTCACACCGTTTTCTTTGCATCTGTACTGGTGACTGTCCACAGGGAGTGCACCCACCACTGGCTGCAGAGGCTGACCCAAAGCCCACTTCTATTTTTCAGCAGCAGGCAATGTCCTGACAGGTCAGCCCGGGCCTGCCCCGCCTGCCCAAAAGCGCCTCCTTTGTCGGGTTAATTTTCTTTGCACATGAATTCGCTTGTACATTGTTTATTCACACACAGAAACCCACTTCACAGTGGTTGAAAGCCTAGTTTCTAGTACCCAGCTAATATGCTTTATGAATGAACGCATCATTAATAACCGTTGCCTTCAAAACTTGTAGTCTATTTTTGATTTTCAGTACTGAAACCAAAGCAGAGCGCTATCGCTAGCTTAGTGCCCCTCTTTGGTTGTGTTTCGCTTGTTTTTCATGGCTGCCCTGGTGTGTTCAGCCTGCATGTCAGAGAACTTATTCCCACAGCACAAGGAGTTCCTTTCTGCATTGTTCACAGGGTTTGTATTGATGTGGCACTCCCTTTTTCTAGGTGTTTTCACAAATTATGGGTGTTTCACACAAGTGCCGCATTTTTATCTTTTGTATGAAAGCTCAGGATCTTTTTCAGCCTCTTTCAGTTGAGTATTTTATTCAGTTTGGTAAAATGGAAGTTAGAAGTGATGCAGGTACTTCCAATAGAGTAATTCCATTATATGGATGCTGTAGCCCTGCCTGCTTCCCGCTGAAAAGAGAGGCTTTCCCATGGCATCTGTACAAGCTGCATCAGGATATTAGAAGTAACGCTAAAGCCTGAGTGATAGAAGAGACCCTGGAAAAGTAATTTGGAGCAAATTTAAGACCTGTAGAATCAAAGCAGAGAATTGAACCAGCAGAAAAGCCATCATGTATTACCAAACTCCTCATTTGCTCAGGGCAAATTATCCTGGCTTGTAGAAAACCAGCTCAGGCACACATGGAAGGCAAATCCATGTGAGAATCCATGTGAGAAACAGCTTTACTGAGCATCTTGCACGGAGGTTGGAGGGAGACGTAGGTGGTCTGGTAGGATCTGAACGCCCCTCAATTGTTAATGTATTATTTAACACCACTGTTGCTCCTTCACTTGATTCCTCAAAGGGGAGAAAGAGAGTGCAATGGGGTGGAAACTGGTCCCATGAGGTGCAGCGTGGCGATTTTGGGTGACGGTGAACAGGCGCACAGCGCTGGCACTCGCAGCATAGGAGTGCAAATTGCAGTGGTGAATTAGAGAGAGGTTGTAAATTGCTCACCAAAGGCCCGATCCCAAACTCCCCACAGAGATATCAAAGTTGCTGGGAGTTTTCCGTGAGTAGGAAGTGGAGGAATGAGCTTCAAACATTTAGGCCCAGCTCCACATGGGTGGTCTATTATGCCTGGATGGATTCCCACTGGCTCCAGCAGCACTCCGAGGTAGTGAAAAGGCTCTTCCTAAATGCACCCCGTTGCAGAACAGGGGCTCTAAGTACTTTCTTTGAACACTTACGAGGGACTTGGGTGGAAAGGTGAAGCCTCAGGCTCAGCGCAGCTGCTCTGCAGCATTCAATCCAATATACTGATATTAATCTGAGTTTGACAAACACACATAGTTGGAGGGGGAGAGACTCCCAAGCCCAGCGGAGTCCTGGCCTTTGCTTTGCACTGTGAAACAGAAAGAAAGCAGCTCGGCAATCAGCAGCAACCGCAGAGAGAAAAGGCGTTTGCATCTGCCCAGCTACATCTGCAACTATTCAGGGGAGAGCATCCGAATTTGTTCCGCTTTTTGGTTGGCAGAGCAACAGTCAGCTCTGACGGTGGATATGTATCGGTAGCATCCAAGCCAAGCAGATTAGAAACCAAATTCAAAAGCCATTTCTCCCCCCTGATCCATCTCCTTCCCGACACACTTTAAAATAAACCTCTGTCTCATTGTTCCCATGACCCTTCCATCCCGCTCCGCTCAGGAATGTCAGGATTCTCAATGTTCTCGCTCTTCTCGGGGCAATTGTCAAATACGTTAAGTCTATACACAATAAATCATGCAAACAAATCATTTATCATCCTATTACATGAAAGTGAGAAATGTACTTTCTGGAAGCTGGCAGACTTGGAAGCCCATGTAAAGGTTGGATATTGCTTTCTTCGTGACCAGCCAATTTTAAATGGAAAAATAATTTATTTGGGAGTTTGTGTTATGAAAAATGAGGTGTTTTTTTTCCCCCACGGCTACAACACACAATTGAAAACAACACAGGGCTTGGAGCATCCTGCTCTAGTGGAAGGTGTCCCTGCCCATGGCAGGGGGCTGGAGCTGGATGAGTTTTAAGGTCCCTTCAACCCAAACCATATGATTCTATGGTTCTGTTTCTGTAACACTGGGGGCACCCAGCCACAGGGCACCACTTGACAGCAGGGAAGCCTCCAGAAACACCGCAAGAAGGGAGCTGAGAGGGTTCCAAGCACACACGTTGTGTGAGGCAATGCTTCTCAGCATACCCCATTCACCGCAGGCCTGACACCTGAGGAAAGGGCTCGCCGTTAGGCCAAGTGTCCCTCATAGCCTTTAGGCTGTAAAAGGGGGCTTTTGTGGGGGCTCACCTCACCCAGATGCACATCACAGCCATCCCCATCCCTCCACCATGTCACAGGCTGAGGTTTAACAAGGAAAAGGGTCTCTTCTCCTACGTAACAAGCGATGGGACAACGGGAAACGGCCTCAAGCTGTGCCAGGGGAGGTTTAGATTGGATATTAGGAACAATTTCTTCACTGAGAGGGTGCTCAGGCATTGGAACAGGCAGGACAGCGGTGGAATCACCACCCCTGGAAGCGTTCACAAACGTGCCGATGAGGTTCCCAGTGACAAGGTTTAGTGGTGGCCTTGGCAGTGCGGAGAGAACGACTGGACTTAACGATCGCAGAGATCATTCCCAACGCCGTTAACCCTGTCACTCCACCACTTCGCCTTCGAGCTTGTTTGACCCACCGCAGCCACCGTACACGCGTGAGAGGGGCGGGCACACGCGGCGGAGGCTCCTCCTCCTCCTCCTTCCACCGCCTCCGGTACCGCCGCAGCCATGGAGGGGGGTGTGCAGCTGCGTGCGGGTGAGCGGGGTTACGTCACCGCGCGGGGGGTTACGTCACCGCGCGGCGGCTTGGGGCGACCGTTGGCCTGAGGGAAGGACCGAGGGGAAGGGTGGGAGCTGCCCGGCCGCGGTGACGGGGCTCCCCCTTTAGGCGCCCGGCAGTGGCCTCAGCTCTGCCTTCCCACAGGTGCCTCCAAGGGCGACATCCGGCAGAAGGTGTGGGACTACCTGGAGGCTAGCGGCCTGGCCGATTTCCCGCGGCCGGTGCACCGCCGCATCCCCAATTTCAAGGTACGGCGACCCGCCTGTGGCGGGTCTGGGCCGCTCCGTTCTTCTTTCTCCCTCCAAAGCTCCGGGCCCCGGCGAGCTGTGGAAGCTTCCCCCCCCCAGCATCTCCCCTGCGTGAGCAGGCAGCTATGAACTTCGTGTTCTTGCGGGATGTGCCGTTGGCCTGTGGGAGTGGTGGTAGAGCTCAAAAGAACTGTGTGCAAACGGCGTATAGGTGTAACTTAACAGCGAGTTAAGAAATACAGGGGTCTGTACCTGGCAATACATGGCAGGTGTGTGCTGTGTTTAATCAGTGGGTACAAAAACGCCTTGTAAACGCAATAAATATATTTATGGACTGGGGAATCGAGGCATTCTGAACTGATTTCACTTCCCAGGGCCTTTAGTGGGTGCGTTGGGATGGAAAGCTCAAGTCACCCATCTCCTAGAGCTTAGCCTGGGAGCACTGTGCTGCTAAAATGTGAATGGTGTTCAAGGTATTACTGGCAAAGTGTTGCTGGGCAGTGGTGGGAGAATCCTTCCTCTAGCTTCATTGTGTCCCCAGTTTGATGGGCATGACATTTACTCAGGCCACTGCTTTATTATCTGCCTGTTTTAAATCAGGCTTAGAGTGTGCAGATACCTAGCTGCCATGCATTGAAGAAACGATGACCAAATCAGCATATTGGGGATGGATGTTGGGTGTTTTAGTTTTAGGAGAATGTGACGACATAGGCTCTGCTTTTGCCCAGGGGACTGGCAGAAGCATTCTGCCTTAGTTTGGCATTAAGGTCAGGTAGGTGCTAAAGCAGGTGGAGGAAGTCTGAGGCTTTATCACACAAGGGGATGTCAGCTTAAGTTGCACAAGGAGTGTGTGCTCTGTTAAGCTTGGGCACCTTACTGAGCTAAGAAATGAGTCTTCTGAGTTCCGTAACTTAAGAATTAGATTAGATATAAGGAAGATTAGATATAGATTTAGATTAGATATAAGGAAGAAGTTCTTCCCTGTGAGGGTGGTGAGGCACCTGGAGCAGGGTGGCCAGAGAAGCTGTGGCTGCCCCATCCCTGGCAGCATTCAAGGCCAGATTGGACAGGGCTTGGAGCAGTCGGGTGTAGTGGAAGGTGAATATAGTGTCTGGAAAACACAGATAGCCTTGTTCAGAAAGTCATCATCTGAAAGAATTCTGGCTTGTGTTTAAAGGAATCTGTTTGCATTCATTGAATAAAAACGTCTCCAGCTGTCAGTTAGGCATGAGTATAGGTGAAATTGGGCAAAGTGACTCACTTGGATCCTGTCTTTCTGAGGTCTGCAAGATACTAGCCAAGTACTCAGCATCTGTTGGTATGTGAGAGTTTCTCATAGAAAACATCACAAAAGCAACAGTATGTCCCTCATATTTAAAATCTGGGGAAATCCATTTCTCTGTAGGATGAAAGAGTGTAAAATGCCTATCTCTGCTGTGAACTCCTTGGTGATGTGCTGATATCTTACGAAAATAGGGTGCCTCGCATGCTGCGACAAGGCTTCTGGGTTTACAGGAGTTCAAAGCTGCCAAGACTGTAAAAATAAATCCCGATGCTCCCCAGAAGAACGCTCGCTTTCTAACGCTAGAAGTAAGTGAACATGTTCTCTCTCGATTCCTCTCTTCATGCAGGGGTCTCACCAGGCTTGCTGCTCTATTAGGGAGCTGGATATGTTCATCAGAGCACGTGAGATTAAAGTAGATCCTGACAAACCTCTTGAAGGTGTTCGGCTAGCTGCGCTGCAGGTAACAGCACTGTTGTACCCCTGAGGAGAGTGGGACTCTGGTGCTTGGTGGGATCTCATGGCCAAGCGCTGCAATTTCTCTCGTGGGAGTTTTACCAGTCCTTAGCCCTATGAAGGCGTTCATGAAAAGATGTTTTTGCCTTGTTTTGGCAAATGGCAAAGGTGCAGGTAGAGTTTGGGGAAATTAGTATCTTTCTGCAGAGCAATAGCAGTTTCCCTGTCATTGTAAGCATGACAGTTTACATGTTTACATTTGTCTTATTCCCCAATACATATAAGGTAGCCTTACCTCAAATTGCATTATGTTTATCACAACATGAGTGTGTGACAGACTTACCTCAGACCTGTGTGTGTTCACCAGCTTATACGTGTAATTCATGTGTGGCACGCACTTTACATCAACTGTCATGTCTTGCCATCTGTTTCTCAAATAAAACCTTGTCTGGGATTTTGCGATGCTTGAGGGCATTCATCTGCAAGCACTGCACCATCAGCAGTGTTAACTAATCAATAGCAAATGAGATAAACAACATGGAGACCTAAAGCACAATAAAAATATTTCTTTAGTGTAAAATGAGCCCAGTTCCTTTTAATGTGAGAACTTCTTTTGTTACACAGGCACGGAAGACTTTGTTGGTTCCCATGCCACGTCTGAGAAGTGGACTGTTCAATAAGATTGTTCCACCTCTAGGTGCAACTAAGGAGATCCTGCGAATATGTGCTACATCTCAAGTAGGAATGAAGAATGGGGAAGGTCTGAATTAAGTAGTGGAGGAGCATTATGTCACGATAGTCCAACTAAAAGTTGGAAAACCAGGTGCTACCTGACATATTGTTCTGCTAGAGTGTTATTCCTGGTTTTTAGGTACATACTTACCATTAATAATTTTTTGTTGGTAGTGAAATCATGAAGAAATGTAGTATTTTCATTATGTTTTATTAAAAGAATGGTATTGATATTTTCTGAATGCTTTTTGGAACATTGAGCGACTTCAATAGATGAGTTCTTTAGGTTTCTAATAAATAGCCCTCCCGTATTCTGTAGTTTTCAGTTAGTGAGCCCGATGAGGAATATTTCAGTGTTTGCTTTTTTTTTGCATAATCTGATCAATAGAATATTAGGTGTTACTAAACAGGAAAGATCAATTCGTTTAGAATCCTAAGTTTAAAGAAACGTTAATTCCATCGGTTGCATCAAGCCAGGTGCAAAAATGCGTTACCGGTTTTCTTGCGAATTGTGATATGTTGCTGCCCTCTTGTGTTCAAGTACCGTGATGTACAGCTAAAGCTATTCGGCAGAGAAACCCGTGTGGTATTATTTGCATTTTTATTTGATATGAAAATGTAAATTCTGCAGAATGACTAGGTGAGCTATGTGGGTTTATTTTGTTCTTTATCTCCTGCTAAAGGCAATGGAGTTCTACAGTAATCCTGTTTACAACTGAGGGTTGTAAATGAATGGCAATTAGTGGTGACTTTCTTTGTTGGAAGTTCCATTAAAGTTGTTAACTAATTAAGCTTCTCGGTATTGAAGAGCACTTTTGAAAGAGACTTTTCTCTTGACCTGCTTTGAGCCTTGTATCTCATCTGTGATCTTACCACCATTTGTCTGTTTTTTCCCCCAACCAAAAGTACAAATAAATGCTATTAGCAGTTTGTATTTGCAAAGCACTGTGCAAACAATTCTTACCACACTCCTGCAAAGTGGATGATGAGTATTGTTACTGATAGTCACAAATTACTGATATTTTGGGGTTTTTTTGTGCTCTACACAGAAAATTTGGCTTTTTACTGTGATGATTAACTTAGCACAAAGCTGCATTGGTTCAAGGAGGATTTACATTACACTGTACTCGTATATTAAGAGTGAATGGATCAGAAGATACCTTTTTAAAAGTTCTGAACCTCTGATCTTGGAAATCCCAAGTAAAAACCAGGTTTTAATATCTGCCACTCTCAGCAGAATTTTGTTAGGACGTATTCTTTAGAAAGGAGCCCGAAGAGGGGTGGGAAGGGGAAGGAAAAAAGAAAGGCAGGAATGTAGCTTTTTTCTTTCCACTTCTCTTCTGTGTTTTTCTGTTCATTAGCATCTCGGGTAAAAAGTTTGGGTAAAGATGGCTTAGCTTGTCAGTGGCACATCCCAGATGATGATCATGCAGCAAAGTGTTGAAGAATGCATTCTCAGGGAACACGTAGGCAGATTTGGAAGGTGCTTTTAAAGATGCAGGTACAGGGGAAACTGGCAGTATGGTATCTGCAGTGTGGAGTGTAATCCAGCTTGGGTACCTGGTTGTGACTTCTGGCAAACAGCTTAACATCTTTATGCTGTAGCTGTCTGTGTGTAAATTACCTTTGTTATTTGTATGTGAGAGTTAATGAATGTGTAGTGCTCTGTTATTCCTCATGGGCATGAATTTACATATTAGGACTTTGAGCTGGTAGTAGTAATAGGGTAGGAAGTGTCATTTGCCCTAATTTTTAGAAATTAATGTCCAATAAAGGGTTTCAAAATACATGACTTTGATCCTAAATAACCTTGCTTTAAAAAGTGCCCACCTCCCTCAGCCCTTCTTGAAGTGTGCCAAAATTCTTGTCATTGTAGTAGGGAATCTATTCTAGGATTCCCTAGAGGATAACTTTCCAGACAGATGCAACTTGGCTATACATGGAAGAAATGCTTTGAAATGTGGGGAGTTACTTGGATTTATCAAAATACTCTGAATTTCTGCCTCACTGGTTGAAAGACTGCACTCTGCGAACCTAATGTTATGTTATTCTTGCAGGGTATAAAAGACTACAGTGTGCCTGTAGGTCTTGAAGGGAAAGCACAAGTGGACTTGGTTGTTGTAGGATCAGTGGCTGTCTCTGAAAAAGGTAAGCTAAAGCCTTGTCAGGAGCTTTTCAGGAGGAGGGTCCTAAGTCACGATTCACAGTCTCAGTTGGCTACACTACATGTTCCTTTTGGCAGACCCACACATGTCTTTGGACCTGAATTACAGTCTTGAGTTCTGTCTGTTCTGTGTGACAAGTCACTGATCCCAGTTCAACCAGGAAGAATTGATGCCTGCTTCACGACAGTGCTGGTAGAGCTTGGTGGGCAAACAGCAATGTGATTTAGAGTGTGAGGGACAGTGTTTTGGCCTTCAGTAGAACTATTCAGCAGTCAATTTTTGTTTCATTTTAATTTTTTTAAGAATCAGAAAGGGCTCCCTGTTCAGAGGATCTGCTCTGCTTGCAAGGGCATGTGAAACCACATGTGTTACTGCTGATTCAGTACCAATTCGGGGATCAGATTTTGCATTTTCCAGTATTTTGAAGACCTGCTGGTGGTGAATAATTTTCCACTGATTTTATCCATTCTTTATCCATTGCCTAAAACTAACATGGTTTTTGTATGTGAGCTGAGGTTCCTCTTTACCCACGTAAGGTTAACCTATGTTTGACGTGAACAGAGGGTTCTAATTACAATGGGTAAACAGGATTCTGCATTAACTGAATTGGTCTAAATGTGATTTATTCTGAATTTGAGCCTCCTGGGCTCCTTTAGGAGTTCATTGAAACTAATGTTTTATTTTCATTTCAGTGCTGATTCAAGGAAAGCTGCATTCTATGAGAGACACTGATGTGATTTTATTTTTTTTTCCCTGAATTACAACTCTGTGCTTGGTTTATCTGTTGCAGGCTGCTTAGTTTAATTGCATGCATTTGACAACAAGCCACCTTTCCACTCTGCTGTTCCTGCACTTACTATCACTGTTTACTTTTGTGTATTTTAGGCTGGAGAATTGGAAAAGGGGAAGGTTATGCAGACATGGAGTATGCAATGATGGTGTCAATGGGTGCGGTGCAGGAGGATACACCTGTAGTTACTATTGTGCATGACTGTCAGGTAAGTTAAAATGTCCCCTCTTTAGTGGTGAGTCAGAACTATGTGAGAGTGAATGGTTTGTCTGGAGAAGAGACTTGGCATGATGTTGGTGTGGCATTTTTACTTTGTTTCCACCATCACTGGCAGATTTTCCTATGCTGCAAGACATCAGGGATGGCATGTGATTTTAGCTAATTCGTTTTACCTGCTTAACAGATCCCTTGTTCCATGTAGGTGGTCGACATAGCAGAAGAACTTCTTGGGGATCATGATTTAACTGTGGATTATATACTCACTCCAACAAGAACTATAAAAACCAACTGCAAACGACCAAAGCCTCGGGAAATAATATGGCATAAGGCAAGTTGCTTCTGCTAATGGTGGCGTGGTGGTACCAGCATTCTGTTGATCAGTCCCTCATTTTTACGTATAAACACATTTCTTGTGTTAGAAATACTTGGAAAAGTAGTAAATGTGTTAGATGGTTAGATGAAACAAAACAGCAGCATTTGGGTTCAGTGGGTTTTAAGTGGTAATTGTGAGGATGAGAAATACACTACTGGAGCCCAGGTTGCTGTTCCAAATGGAATATAGGGTAAGAGTAAGTGTTGTGAATTTTTAAGGCTGAGTTTATTTCTTGTAGTTGTTTGTAGTATAATAGTCAATGTAAGCTGAGGGGCTTCTCTGCCTTATGTTTTACTCAGTGCTTGTTTAGATTGGCTCTGTTCATTTTCTGGAGCCTATACACAGAGAGAACTTCATTGCTTTAGGCCACGTGGGAGTGGTAGAGTATGTGCTGCTCTGGTTGTGAAAGGAAAGGACCTTGATGGCTGGTACATTGCTGTTTACGTAGCAGATTAACTTTCAAACAATATATTAAGTTTGTGGCTGAAGTTTGTTTTCAGGTGGCGAAATACATATATAGACTTTATAGTACTTCAAGTCATTATTTATTGATAACTATTTTTTATGGGTTTGGACCCACCCATGCTTCAGATTGTCAGAAACTTTAACAGCTTCGCAAATGGTTTCAGAAGAGCATTTAGTGAATTGTTTTACTGGAAGTTCACGCTGGGAAAATTCTTTCTTTGTCATTAAATTTTCATTCCTAAAATCAACCAGTTAGGGAGCAGAGGCAATCCTGCATGAGTGAGTAACAGTAGGAACACTGAAATGAGGAATAGTGTACCAATGTCTTGCAGAAACCACTGAGGAATTATTAGTGAATACTTCTAGGGGAATAAAGAGTTATTTGTTAAGCATGTGCCAAACAGCAAAAAGAGTTAAGTTTGTTAAGGTAATGTATCTACAACAAACAATTCTAGGCAGTACTATTTTTGCTCCTATAGTGGGAGAGTATTTTACGCTTGTGGTTGAGGATTTGAGGTTATAAATAAATAAATAACAGCTCTGTCTCTACCAGTGCATATTTTCCATTGAATTATTTTTGAATACTGATTTTTTTAGGATATTATTGAATGTAATTGTTCTGAAGGCCTACCCCTTTTGCTCCATCCATCTTGCCAGCATACTTTTGATCACAGGCTGACTGCCTTAGTGTCAGACTTCAGTCTCAGTAAGTGGCCTTGCTAACACTCTTTTTTTTTTTCTTTCTTTTCTGTCTCATTCCCTTTAGCAGTGACATTTTTTAAAGGTCTGGGGAACCTTGCAGGGGCTGTTGAATTTCTGTGAAACTTTAGCTGCTCATGAAAGGTCAGTCAGACACAAGCGATGTATTAAATTTGATGTTACCTTTGCATTTCTTGGCTTTTCAGAGAAAAAGAAATATAATAATATATGTTTCATAAAGTAATGAAGTGTCTGCCACAGATCCTTATCCTTTTTTGTAAGGCTTGAGATGTTTCCTAGAGTCATAGCTAAAGCTTGTGCCACACTGACTTCAGCCAGTTTGCATGAGATGGTGAAACTTTTTCTCTAGTAATCTCCATGTTAGTGATGTTGTCTGGAACAGGGCTCTCACTGAATATCCTACAGCTTTCACTGAGAAGGGAGCACGTTGCACTATGGACCCTTTATTTGAATATTTACATGTTGATTTAACATGTCAAGCAGCTTTTGGCTGTCCTTCAGAGCATATGTTGATTAGCTAGTAATATTGGAGAATACTGGCCTGAGCAGGAATAATCTTTGCATTTCTGTAGTTTTGGGACAAGATCAAAGTGTTGTGTCTATATGAAAAAGGTGGCAAATAGCATTATTTTTTTTCAGAGAGCTGAACAACTTGTGTATTTGTGTATGTTTTCTTTGTGCTTGTGGTGGTAACTCCTATGTTCAACTCTTCACAGAGGGTCTTGGAGGTGGGAGGTCTAGTTAATCAACAGGGTGTTAAAAATGCAGGATTTGGTACAGACTATTTAAGTGTTTGTCCTTTGAGGTTTCCTGGTTGCTTTTGCATCCTTTTCTCATCATTGTCTCTACATCCTTTTCTCCTCCAAATCCTGGCTTTACTGGTGCATTCCTGTTCCTCAGATCAAAACTAAATGACCCAAGAGGTAGTCAGTAAATAAATAACCCACTTCTAACTATGGTGTTTTGTCAATAGAAGGTAGATAAACTTTATTGTTAAGATTTGTGATGCGTAAAATACATTGCAAAAAAGTTCTTCAGGAACATGTCTGGATCAAGCCAAGAGAATGATTTAAGAGCTTAAATTAAAGGTGTTTGCAAACATGGGATTACAGCTAAGTACTGCTGAAGGATGTGCTTTCCTGAAGCTGTTAGGATAAATAGCCATTAATGCACACACTGCTTTCAGCTGGAAAGAGGTAAGTAAGAAAGTATTTATGCAGCTAACAAAATGCATGTCTCCAGGCTAGATTTCTGTGCTCAAAGAGGTACTGTATTTTCCTGGAATGGTTTTGTATGTTACATCCTATGTAGGAAAGAAGTAAAGTGTCAGATATGGGAAGGGGTAAATAGGTTTTCTTCTGTGCGTGATTTGCTTCTTGGGGTAATTGGCATGACTTGTTCTCAGTTGCCTTCTTTCAGTTCTCAGTGCAGAATTTCCAACTGAGCTGTTTCTTGCTGTACGTTTTTACGGACAGGAGGATGTGAATTACTTGGTGTGAGTTTTGTAACAGAAATGCCAATTTAAAGATTTGTAACGAAGTACAGGAGCTACCATATTATTAATACCAAAGAAGCACTGTCAGTATCAGTGCTAGGCACTCTGGAAGCACTTCGAAATACAGAGGTAGTACTGCAGTGTGTGTATGAGGAAGCTTTCTCCATCTCAGTTCAGGGTTTTGAGAAATCAGTATGTGCTCTTGGAGAACAGCAAGAGCTGCTAAGAGCTGAACACTCTGGAAAACTGTATTTGGATGCCAGTGGAGAGTTATTTGGCTTCATCTATCTTGCAAATCTAACCCATTGTTTCTGGGAACTCTGAACTCATGAAGCAACTTACTTCTCATTTAGTATTTTGTATGGGTAGCTATGATCTTTATCTGTGGCACTGTATATTATATTGTCACAATTACAAAGTTATTTGTGCTGTGCTTATTTTAAATTGAAACTGTACAGACCAATTAAAATATTTGGGGTCATGAAGAGGGAAATGAGAGTAGTTAGTGGAAAAATCAGTATATTCTAGCAAGCATTTCCTTCTGTTTTTTCAATCATTCTTCTGCTGAGAATTTTATGGAAGTAGGAAAATGTAATATTTTTTCCCCAAAATAAAATGAACTGGGGGGAATCCCTGCATTTAAAGTTGAAAGAATTTAGTGTGCAGTGACAGAGATGGAAACTATCTGACAATGAATAGCTTTTGATTCGGGTCTGTGGTAGAATATGTGGTAAGTAAAATAATGTTGTTTTAAAGTTCAAATTCACACTCATACTGAAGCTGGCAGAACCTTTAGCAAGGACATAGCATTGTCATCAGAAGAAAACTGTGGTTAGTTTAGCCAAGGCTTTGCTTTGTGGAGGGATAGCGTGAGCAGGGCACGCTTCCATGCATGGTTAAACATCTCAACACCTTTGCAAATCTGACCCTTGCTACAGAGTCCACAGATTCAGTTTTTGCTGATGGATTCCAAATGTGGGTTGCATAAGTTTCTCCTGAGGGACACTAGCAGACTTCATGGGCTGCCAGCTCCCAGAAATATGCCCTGGGATTGCGTGCACATATTTGGACATTTTGTGCAAATGAATGATAAAATGTTAAACTGTGCTGGCCCATCCCAGCTGTCTTGGCTTTCTCTGTGCTTTAAAACCCTGTGAGCTCAGTGTTCATTTAAACAAGCAACTGATTAAGGAGACAACATGAGAAGCAGACTCTGTCCTGAAAGCCTTTATGAACAGTCTTGGGTCAGAGACCCCTCTGGGTGGGCAAAGATGAATTTTTCAGGCATCTTCTGCCTATCAGCTAAATACCTGGACGGGCTGGTGGGTCTGCTAAACATTGATTGTTGTGTTCACAGCCTTCCTCAAAGGAAGCAGCACCCTCGTCTCTCTCCATTTTGAGCTACATGTTCCTACATCAGTTGGTGTGTCCAGATGGGTAGCTGTGTGAAGCAGAATTAAATAGCAGACCTAGAATGCTCTTCAGTCTCTAGCTGCCCTTCCCTCATGTGCCATACATCAGAACTGCACCACTTCTGCTGCCAGGGAAATCAAAGTAGTATTTGGCTTAGCCTGTGCTGTATCAGGGGTCAGCATTGCTCATTCTGTCAGAGGACAAATACATCTTTCATTTTGCCCAGCAAAATATTGAAAGTGGCCACGTTCACTGTTCTGGAATAACAAGGCTGAAGAGAGGCTTGATGTTCTAGCAGAGCAGTTGCAGAAGTCCATCTGCCACTACGTTGTTTTGGGACCAAACCAGGTGTCATAAGAGTGGATGCTCAGGGTTAAGTGTTGGCAGATTTGTGTTGGCACTCAGTACCCAAGACTCTGTTTTCTTCAGGTTTCTGTCAGAAAGGGGCCACGTTTCCCTTCTCAGCTCCTTTCCCATAGCCCACTAGTTGTGGGTCAGAAGAATTCATCTACCCTGCTGTCCTCTTTCCCCAAGGCTTTCCCAAGCCATGGCACAGAGTAGGCAGGATTGTTAAATGATGAATTGCTTTTGGTGAAGTTATTTTTAACCTGGATCACATCAGTTACTGAGTTTATAGCACAGACCCACAAACACTTCTGTTGGCCAACCCCAGAGGGCTGAAGTATGGAACTGGCCTGGGAATTGGTGGTCAAGGAGTAATAAGAAACTTCTTCAGCTGGCTTCACTGCCAAAGCCAATCATTTAGCTAAATCCCAACACTCAGTACAAAGTTTACAAACATCAATAAATGGTTTGGCCTTGACTTTTTAGGGATGGGGGGAGCAGGGGAAGAAGCTTCTACCACTGGGTTTGCCCAGATCTTCATAACTGGGTCAAGCAGACCCAGGGTAGAACCCAAGTCTGGCTTAGCCTAAAGCAGTAGGTCAGGCTAGGAAGGAGTGACCAGACAGCACAGAACCAAGAAACGTGCAGCTTGTTTGAAAGAGAGGGGGAATATCTTTGGCCTGTTTCCACATGGAAATAAATCATTGCAATCCTCCACAACTCAAAAGACAAAAGAAACTTTTTGCATGATCATAATTAGCAACACATTGTACTACCACAGAGCTCTTTTGTTTGCTATTTTGCAACAGAGCAGAGGAAGCTTTTCCCTCTCCTCTGCCACCCACTGCCCCCTTTGCCCTTTTGGCTCTCACCCCCTGCACCCCAAAAAAGGTAGTGAATTGGTTTGTTGATTTGAAACTCTGGAATTCCAAAAGTGAGTTTCTGTTGTTCCTTCAATAAAAAAGGCGGGAAAAATAGGGAAGTATTTAGGAGGTTTGGCCCAGCTGAAAGATTCTCCAGGACCTCAGGGAAACAAACCCTTAAGGTAAATCCTCTCTCTCTCTCTTTTGTGGCAGAAGGATGTCAGTTGCCAGTGTCCGTACTGTCTGATGTAGGTTGTTCTACAGAATGTTTTCTATTAAAAAACAAATCCAAGTGCCAAATCATCTGCCTTTGTTGGTTTGGTAGTGTAAAGGCAACTTTCTGTTATATCTGCATGGGACTGAATTTAAGGTATTGATAGGTTCACTTCATGGTGGTGTTTGATCAGAGCTTCAGCTTTTATAGAAAACAACAGTTCATAGCGCTTATGAAGACGTTTCTGCTGTTGTAACTACATCTTCCCAAGTTTGCAGGGAGCCTGAAACAGTAGCTCCAAGAGCTCTAGTCAGATGCCAAAAACTACCGGTCATTCTAGTGAGAGGAGAGGCCATGCTGAAGCCTGGCCAGGCAAAATCTTTTAGAGAGTATGCTAGCCACTGGCTTATCTGAATCCTTTCCTTGGTTTGTCCTTAAAAGAGTGAGAGTTCCAGAGATCATCCTCTCAGTGCCTTTTTCTTTGGTTCTCTTAATCTACAAAGTAGTGAGGATTTGCCCTTGGTAGCATTGACCTTTCTAACTGAACACCCAGTCCATGCCTCGGGGACCAACTTTAATTTCAGGGTGAAAGGAGCTGTACATACGCTTGGTAAGAGGTTGAGGTTGTGCCTTGGACCCAGGAGTGATTAGTTGCATGAGAATAGAAAAATGTTTTTCCTGTTTGGTTTAATTAGCATTACACATAGAAATTTGACAGAGGACAACAAATGTTCCTAATTTTTGGCCAGTAAAAACAAAGTAAGATGTTTTCAACCGTTGGTGTTGTATTGCCCAGGGAAGAGGAGTTTGCTATCAAACACAGCAGTCTGAATTCTTGGCTGAGAAAATCAAATCAGTCCAAAAATCCATAGAGCAATAACTCTTCAAAAAGCTGAAAGTGGCATGTACCTTTCAGAGCACAGGGGCTCCCGGAGCCCCAAAGGAAGTCCTTGCTTCTCTGTCCTGGCTGCCAGATCAGGACACATTTGTTCAGAAATTGTTCTCAGCCGTAAAGCTTGCATGTTTGAGGGGCATTATCCCAAACACCTTGACTAGGGGTCTGCAGTGTGGCAGAGTGGAGGTGGCCTCTTCCATACTGGATAGTCCTATTGGGCTGTTTTGTTTTATGTTAACAGGTTAGACAGTCTTTATGTAAATTATAATTTTTTTTGTTTCAGCCTCAAATAAAACTTGCTTATTTGCTCCTCAGAAGAGGAGCCCTGGGAATATTTAACAGACTTTTGTTAACTGGCTTTCCTGTTACCTTAACCTGCTATTGCTCCCACCCTGTCTTTGATTTTACCCCAGTCACTTTAGAGCTGGGCTGCTCTCCGTAGAGATCTGTGAATTTTAGACTTGATGCGGTCCTGCCAGATACAAACACACTTTGACTGTAATTGTAGAACCAAGAATTGAGGGGCTTGGAGATACAAGGGAAATCTGAGCTGGGAGATCTGCAAGCGTATTCTAGCTAGGGTATGCTTGTGCTAGTCCAATGCAGCCTTCTGTGAAGTATAAATACATATGTATATATATAGCTCATAAGCTTGGGTGCAGTATCCTGCTAGAACGGCTTGCTCACAGTGTGTGTGGGCTATTAGCTTGGGTCTCTGCTACCTCAGGTGTTGCTTCCCTGGGCTCTGTTTTGCTCCTTAAATTTAAGAACTGGATCTTGTGTTGATGGATGTTCTGCTTGTCCAGCAGCCAAGTACAAATTATTCCTCTTTCCAACTGCAGTTTGCAAGCCAAGAGCTAGACCACATTAGCCAGGGAACCACTGTGTTTCCTGCCAGTCAGTGAATGCAGCCTGGGGCATCTCATGCCTGAGATGGATAGGGTTCAGCTGTTGAGAGGAAGAGCCCTTCCAGCAAAGCTGCTTGTGAACTGGGGGTGGATGGAAGGGGTAGAAGATTCACAGTTTTGAAGAATAGCTGGGTCCGGGTGCTCTTCCGTTCCGTGACCCAACCCAGCAGACTGTTATGAGATCTGATGAGTAGCTGCGGGTGGTGCATGAAGTCGGATGACAAAAGGGAGAGGGAGGCTGTGATCTGCTGATGTGCTACAACCAGAGAACGTGCCTCCAGCTGGGCCCACATTCAGAGGAGCCCTGCTACAAGGCACGCTCCCCAGCTGCAAACTTCACACCATCATCCCTCACTATTGTGTGACCCAGCCTTTGGGATATCCTGTTCTGGGGGGGAAAGAGCACAAGGAGATACGTAGGATGAAAGTGCCTGATGGTTTCATGAATTACGGGCATGTAAGATTCTGCCAGAGCAGGAGCACAGGCCCTCAGTCAAAGCAAATATTAAGGGATAACAATGAGAATGCAAATCTGAAAGCACTCTGATAAATAAATGTCAAAATCTAGTAGTTCTGAGTTTGGTTTTGATTTTCCTGCTGGATCTACATTGTACTGCTTGCTTAAAGAGTAACTAATGTTTATTTTTGTCCTGCAGTGTGTATTTAGGGAGCAACTTCAGAATCAGGCCAGCAATTTGTAGCATTTTGAATATTCTGGCACTCTGAATGGTAGCAGTATAATAACGTTCCTCTTTTTATAGTGCAGATGGGTGCTAATGGTTGTTGTCTCTTTCTGGAAGGTGAGAAATCTCATAATTGTATCTGTCTTCCTCCTTTTTAGGTCACCTCTGAGATGCTGGGAAAAATCCCTATCCTAAGGAGTCTTCACTACAAGGAGAAGCAGGCTGGCAAGGACGTGACCCTCCAAGATGCACATTCAGACTTGGCAAATACCAAAAAAACAGCAGCATTAAATCAGAGGGCGACGGCTGAAAATATAAGACCCCAGGCTGCTATGGGCTCAGCTGAAATAGGAAAACACTGTGTTGAAGGTGATTCTTTAAGTCCCAGATTAGATGGATCTGACAGGATTACTACCGTGTACCTGGGGAACATATCTCCCAGCGTAAGAGTGAGCGAGCTGAAATGTGCTTTAAGGGAATTCCATGTAACTCCTTTACGACTGAATTGGCAAGGAGCACAGCACAGGGCTTTTCTCGATTACAAGGATAAACCAACCGCAGAGAGTGCTGTAGCCTCTTTGAAAGGCTTGAGCCTCGGGGGTTATCCTTTGCGAGTTGAGCTGGCCAAAAATCAGAGAAGCAAAGGGCAAGTAGAAATCAATAGTCAGAAATGAATATGAAGGGGGGGAGGGGGGGGAATAGGCATTTTCATTGTTTTCTGAGAAGCCAGTCTAAGTTTTCAAGAATATTAGCATTTCCTCTGCTTTCTGCAGGCTAAACAACAAAGTGGAGACAGCTTTTCAAACAAATGAGGCATGCATCTCACAGCTGCCTCATTTCTGCAGTTGTATATGTAAAGTGTATTTGTCAAGACAGATGACAGAAGTGCCATTTCTCTGAACAATTACCCACAAAGTACCTGCACTCTGTGAATTTGTTTTTGGTTTGGTTTTTTTTTTTTTTGGGGGGGGGGGGGAGTCGATTTGCTATTTGATTAGTACATTTTTGAGGCCCGGATCAAAAAACTGCCCCTTGGTAGCTGTGTGCGGCCATGTATAGTGAAGTGGTTATGTTCTGTCAGCTAAAGGTTGTACCTGCAAATGCGTGCTTGTGAGCTTGAAAGCCAGCTGCAGAAAATCTGTCATAAGGCTTGCAATTATGTTTTTCAATAGCTTTTGCCTGTTGGAAGTTTTCAGTGTATTTTTAATAAAAATGGCTGGGGGGGGGGGAGAGAATGCCCTTTTCGTGCTCTTGAAGAATGTCTGTGGAAACACTGAGTTCCAACAATAGCTATTACCACCAGGTGGAAGATTCTCAGCTTGCTTTGTTAATTCAGCCCTTTGTCAATCTTGTATTTCGATTTTCAGTCTGGCAGGGGAAAGTGAAGACCAGTTTTCTCCTCTGTTTTCCCTCAGAACATTTCAGGTCCCTTCTTTATGGATGCAGATAATACAATCTGGTGTGATTATATTGGCTATGAAATGACATGAATATTAATCATTGTAGTGGAAATGAAAAGCAGACAGACCACGGTCAAAACCTGTGGGTGGCTAGTTTGATATGGAGTTGTTTGAAGAGCTGCTGGAGATGCTAGAAAATCCTGTTCCTGCTGTGCCTGTGTCACAACTAGCCTCGTCTTCTTGCACCCACAACATCAGATAGCAGCACTGGCAACTTCTGCTTGTGAAAGGGCTGTCCAGGACTAGCTTGAACAGTAAGATTTGCACGCATGTGAACAGTCACTTACGGTGTAACAGAGAATGATGATTTATTTGGTATGGCCTTTATTACTACTTTTTTCCCCTTTGGTTTCCTATTCCTGAAAAACAAGTTGAATTTTGGCCGAACCATCCTTTCTAAACAGAAGCACTTTTGCCATTGACTCTGGGCACATAGTCAAAGTAAGCATCTAAAGGGGATATTTTTTTAAGTATGAGCTGGAAATTTTTTTTAGCCAGAGGGTACTGTTAAGTGTATTTTGAGTGTATTATTATGCCTCAAGGGTCAGACATATCATACAGGATTGAATGAAAAGTTCTCATCATTATTATGTATTCTCTGCACAGGGCTCAAGGGAAGTGTTGCTTCAACTTTTTGTGAGGTAAATAAAAGAAAGGTTTCTGAAAATAAATACTGCCATGCGCTAAAATGCTCTCTTTAGCTCAAAATTATTTTCAGTATCACTTACTGTGAATTAAAACCTAAGTGCTGCAGAGTCCTCTGCTTTTTGTTTCAGTAGTTGTGCATTTCAAGGGTAAGAGTCAGAGGTTAACACTTACACATACTCATTGTAACATGAGCTCAGAAAGCAGAGGAAAGAAAAGAAAAAAAATAATTATGTGTCACTGCCTTCCCCTTCCAAATGATGGCAAATTAAATAACATGATCATTTGATGTTCTTTTTGACTCTTGCAATCCTGCTTGATTGGGTGAAGACACACAGGTGACCTTCACAGTCAAAAAGTACTTATTCTGCCAAAGAAAACTTCTAGTATCGCATACTTCCCCTGTTGCATTATAGATGGAACCAGCCTTTCCTGGTCAAATTTGTGGGAGTTTTATTCTCTACCTTATTTCATTTCTTAACAGTTGAAGTTTTAGTACAGATATGTTTGCATGATACGTAAATGCGTGATGCTGACTTGCTCTGCTCTCAAGGCTGTGCATAGTCAGGGGCCAGTTTACTTTGGGCAGACATGTCTAGATAGTATTCTGTTTGGAGCTGTGGTTCTGTGTGTAACCCACAGGGTGAGAGCTGTGTGAGGTCTGTATGCAATTGAGCAGATCTCTGCAGTGTTCCTCCAGCCTGTCACTTGTTTCTATCATGTATTGTAGGGCCATTTTCACGTATGCAGGGCCATGTAGGGCCATTACAGTTACCTTCCCAACAAGCAAGGTACAAACCACTGCTGAGAAGATAATAACTAGACAGAGGTAGGAGACTGTATTTAGGCTCAGAGAAGATTCATTACTATAAGCTTAAGGTAATGCACCATTCATTAGCATTTTGAATGGAATAATAATGATGCTATGATAGTTGTATTTCCAACTCATGGAGGCTGGACTGAGAGCAGCCCGTGGAGAAGGACTTGGGGGTGTTGGGTGATGAGAAACCGAACATGAGCCAGCTTCAATGTGCAGTCGCAGCCCAGAAAGCCAACCATATCCTGGGCTGCATCAAAAGGAGCGTGACCAGCATGTCGAAGGAGGTGATCCTGCCCCTCAGCTCCGCTCTCGTGAGACCCCACTTGTAGCACTGTGTGCAGTTCTGGTGTCCTCAAAATAAGAAGGACATGGAACTGTTGGAACAAGTCCAGAGAAGGGCCACGGGGATGATCAGGGGACTGGAGCACCTCCTGTGTGAAGACAGGCTGAGAAAGTTTGGGCTGTTCTGCCTGGAGAAGAGAAGGCTGCGTGGAGACCTCATAGCAGCCTTCCAGTATCTGATGGCAGCCTGCAAGGATGCCAGGGAGGGACTCTTCATTAGGGACTGTAGCAATAGGACAAGAGGTGATGGGTTTAAACTCAAACAGGGGAAGTTCAGGTTAGATACAAGGAAAAAGTTCTTCCCTGTGAAGGTGGTGAGGCGCTGGCACAGGATGCCCAAAGAAGTGGTAAATGCCACATCCCTGGCAGTGTACAAGGCCATGTTGGACAGAGCTTTGGGCTACATGGTCTAGTGTGAGATGTCCCTTCCCATGGCAGGGGGGGTTGGAAATGGATGATCTCAAGATCCTTCCCAACCCAAACCATTCTGTGACTGTATGATTCTATGACTTAAGAGTCTTGCTTGATGAGAAGCTCAACAAGACCTAGCAGTGTGTGCTTGCAGCCCAGAACCCCTGTGTGTACTGGGCTTCATTCCCAGAGCATGAGCAGCAGGTAAAGGGAGAGGATTCTCCACCTCTGCTGCACTTTGGAGGGACCCCCTTGCAGTCCTGTGTCCAGCTGTGGGGCAACAGCACAAGAGGTACATGGAGCTGTTGGAGTGAGTCAGGGGAGGCCACCAAGATCCTCCAAGGGCTGGAGAAGCTCTCTTCTGGAGGCAGGCTGAGAGAGCTGGTCTGGTTCAACAGGAGTTTGTGCCTGGGCACTCTGAAGTCAACACGATTTCTGTCTTGGACAGTGAGGGAAGCGGTGACAAGGATGGAGCCCTTACTGCTGCTTGGGGAGCTGCTCATCTTTAGCTAAAGGACATTTCAATGAAAGACACTAAATTGCTCTTTAATTAAACAATGCAAAACTGCCCAAGGCGCGCTCCTGCATGGACTCCTGGTGTCTTTAGTTGTATGATGTGGATTTCTTCTTATGGGCTGACCGAGTTTCTACTTGAGGAAGCAGCAGATTTTGAAGAAAAAGTGAATGGAGCAGTCTGTCTCTCTTAGATCTATTGTTTCAGGCTCTCTGCATGCTCAGGAAGACATCAGTTATACATGAGTCATTTCTGTCTTTAAATCCACAAAACTCCAAAGTGCAGTGCATTTGGGTGAATCCTTGGACACTGATCTCATAACGGAACTTGAGGAACTGAGGCCTGCTTATGTTTTAGTTTGTCCCAGAGCAAGATATTTTACTGACAATCAGAACATGAAGTCTGAAGAATTTACAGAACCCTGAAGAATTTACGGGCAGAATTAACAACTTTTAATGATGAGAACCTTTACTCAAGTAGTAATTCTTCATTTAGTACCTGTTGTAGCTGTGGCCCTGCTGCTAGCACGTAGGTTGACCTTGGTTATGTCTATCTACATGGAGTTTGTGCTCATTGAGGTGGTACCAACCCTTATGTCCTCTCTTTTTTGTTGTGACTTAAGGATTCCTGGGATTAGGAAGGAGGGAGATATTCTTCTGTCTTAAGACTCATGCTAAAACATCTACAGTGACAAAAAAGTGCCTGGATGCTGCTGAGAAGTCTGAAACACTGGTGAAAGCTGGGGAGTCTGCTTTTAATAGGGGAACAAAGTGATCCCGAACACAGGCTTGATTGCAGTTCACTTGCAGCAGCAGAGGAGCCTTCACTTCTCTGCTGTGTGATGAGAAGAAAAGTTCAGCAGTACAATGGGAAATACTTTACTGAGCCAACTTTGTTCAGAAGTAATTAAAAATGAGGCCTTTTTATTCTCTGTGCAGCCTGATGTCCTTGCCTGTCATGTGGTTCAGCACATTCTTTCCAGCTCCTTTCATGGCACAAACAAGTTGGGATGTTGTTATTGCACGCCCCTCTTTTTCAAGGTTCAGTGGGGAAAGATGCTGAACAGCTCCGGAGGCTGGTCAGTGTGAGCAAACCCAGCTCCATGCTCCTGGCAGCAGTGTGGCATCCAACAGCGACCACCCTAGGTGTTACATTGCAGACGTGAGCTTCCCAGGGCCATTCCACCCTTCTTCTTCCCCTCTCTTGTGGGAGAGATGCAGGGACAAAACAGTATCAGATGAATGGAGCCTCTACCCGATCCATTAGGCAGGAGAACATGGTCACTTCGGAGCAGATTTTGGAGGGGATTTTCTTTTGTTGAATATTAGTCACAGCGTGGTGTGTGGCACAGAGCAGTGAGGCAACACTGTAATCTGCTAACAATAAAAGCGAGGTGGCGAAGTGCCACTCAGTGCTGAAAACTATACAGTCATTCCGGTTTTCCTTCAGACAGCTATGTCCATGCATTTCCTGGAACAAGGACAAGGCCACACAGCTTC